GCGGGGTTATTCCAATCTTAATACGTTCGATGGTCTACTTCGATCTGCCGTCTAATTACGATTTGCATCATTTGAAAATACGCCTTCCTAAAAGCGTGCCGCGCAGAAAGTTCCACGATAATGACCGGCGTGCCCACTTTATTTTGCAACATAGTTTTATTACGTATACAGGATGTCGGTATTTTATACCGCTAATCAAGGGAAGGGGTAATATCAAGTACCAGGTGTTTGCCCTCGATAAATGTTTTCGATTAAAGCAAAGCACTTAATGCACATTATTCCGACGATTCGGTCATTGTTCGCTAAGAAGAAAGTACGATAATAATGATCATACGATAATAAGTCAAATGGAGGATTATATAATGTCAAATGGAAACAGAGCACGGTCGATTACAGCACGTGGTAAAATCAGGAATTTGTGCCAATAACGAACACGCGTATCGAAGTTTAACTCGGCGTTCAAGATACGATCGTTACCCTTAGACATCCGTGACTGATGCATACGTATGCACTGTAATAATCGTGTTTGACCGAGCGTGCTTCCTTTCCTACAATATGATATGTATAAATCGGAAGAAGTGCTGTTTCGTCAAAGAAATGTCGTAGAAATTAGCCGTGCGTTCGGCATGAAACACTGAGCACTGAGAGAAATGATTTTGTTATAGAAACAAATCAAGAGAAAGCAAATGTGATATTTGTTTAAAACGATCGATTTGTTACGATTGCAAATTAATTCGTCAATGTAACAAATAATCAACAGTATTGCTAGCAAATAAGAGGCTCATATATATATATATATATATAAAAGTCGTAGACGATTGCAGGACCTCAAATCAAATTGATCAATTCTCCTTATATTTGACTGTGCTGGTCGGTTTTCTACGATTCTACGAATCATCTATGAATTCTATGTAAACGAACCTAAAATCTATCCAAAAGGTAGATTAGATTGTAGTTTGCTTTTATTACTGATAATTACTTTTATTACTAATAATTGATATAGCAGCAATCACAATAACAAAATTTGTTGTCACATATTTTACTGATTGCTTGTTAAATTAACAAAATTCTTAAAATTAGCAAGCTTAAAAATTTAGCAAGTCACCAAGTACCTTTAACCGGTGATTGGTAAATATATGACAACAAATTTTGTTA